CACAATCTCACAAGTTGTGGGGGTCGGGTTTTGTCAAATTGAAACCAAACCAACATATCTGAGAAGAGGGCATCTCAGTTGAGAAATTGCCTCATCTATTTTACATATAGATATAACTGCATAGAACTTTCCTAAACAATATTTGGTGTGGGAGAGACGACCCATCCATTGCAGGCAGTGTTATCTCTGGCAATGTCGACCTTGGGTGTACAGGAAAGCACACTGAATAAGCCATAAGAGCCTACAAGTAAGCATCCCTCTCCCTTGTTTCCACTGCAGTTCCCCTCTCTGGATTCCTGTCCTGAGCTCCTGCCTCAACTTTCTCTATGATGGACCACAACATAGAAAATGGAAGAAATGCTTTCCTGCCCAAGGTGCATTTGCTCATGGTTTTTAATCACATCCCTAGAAAGCAAACTAAGACACATTGCAAAACAACATCCTAAATAGACAATGGCAAATTTACCAACGGATGCTAAACAGGAGTGCCACAGAATGTTTCAGCCTACAACAAAAAGATAGAGCTATTACAGGACATGGTGAAAGATGAAATTTATGGGAAACTGAAATGATCTCTGCTCTGCTACATCTGCTCACATTATGCTGTTTCCCCACATTTATGTTTTGTGGGGAGCATGCCTATGTCATCTTCTTGTAATCCAGTATTTCTGAAGCCTAGAAACCTAGCCAGGATTGGCTGGGTAATGCATTTTGTGAGCATTCTTCTGTACATCACAGATTTAGTAGCATCCCTGCGTTCTTTTTACTAGATACCAGTGAATATGCCCCATCTCAATTTTGACAAGAAGGTGCCCATGTCTTAAGGACAGGGTTGAGAGGAACACATTCTGATTGGAAACTTTTTAAATCATTTATTGATACTGATGGCAAATATCCAATAAAAGTTCATGCAGAATAATTCCTGTTTTCACTTTTCTGTATTTTAGGAAAAAGTAATAATGGAATATGCACATTAAAATGACAATTTGTGTCTATAGAGATGTTTTAAGTTGCTAAGAACACATGCTTCTCATGAAAAACCCACACGACTGTTCACAGCCTCTTGCAACTCAAACTCTGGGGGATTCAAAGCTTTATTCTAGACTCCACAAGCTCCCACACATATTTGGTGCACATAAACTCATGCATACTTATGTGCATACGTGTTAAATAAATAAATAAATTAAGAAATAAATATTCATTAAAATTTAGAAATGTGTGTATAAAAAGTAAGTCCACTGCTAAAATATAAAACAGTGTCAAGTTTCAGCTCTCTGGACCCTGGTCTTGAGAGAAATATCCTGTGCCCCAGCCCCACCCATCTAGCCCCCAGACACCTGGGAACACTCTCCCCATACCCACATCTCTGACCACCAGAGTCTTGATTTTGTTTGCCCCTGGATAGGTGAGTGTCTGGGTTCGAAGAGGTAAGTGTCTTGGTTCAAAGAGTTGAGTGTCTGGGTTCACAACTGGAGGGCCCAGCAGGTCTCTGGACTGTAGCCCCAGGAGGCACATTCTGTGCCCCACCCCCACCAAGTTAGGCCCCAGGGACTTGGAAGAAATGTCCCCACACCCACAGCCAACCCCCTCCGGATCTCAGACCATCAGAGCCTTGGTCCTGGCTGCCCCTGAAGAAGTGAGTGTCTGTCTTCCCATCTGGATGGCCCTGCTCTCCAGGCCCTAACCCACAGAGAAACATCCCATGCCCCACCCTAACCACCAAACCCCAGAGACCACAGAGCAACCATTCTCCACTGCATCTATGACATCTGGAGCCTAGGCCATGACTGCACCTGGAGAGGAGTCCCCAGAACCTCATCAGCAATGACCAGATACATGGTGCAGCCTGCAAGAGGAGGAAGAGAGAGCACCTAAGCCACAGATCCTACCTGCATCAATTGGAGGAAGAGATGGGTAGACACCAAAACAAGAATACATTTAAGAACCTAAAGAACAATATGGCAACACCTGAACCTAGTGGTCCTACAAAAAGAAGACATGAACATCCTAGCCTAGAAGGTGCAAAGAAAATGTCCTTAAATATAACTTTCTGAAGATGATAGAGAACCTTAAAGAGGAAATGAAAAATTCCCTTAAAGAAATGGAGGAAAAGATAAAAATTGAAAGAAAGCAATAAATCTCTTAAAGCCAAGAAAACCAAGAAAAAACAATCAATCAAGTGCAGCAAAGAGCTGAAACAGTTCGAGACTTGATGAATGAAATAGAGTCAATAAAGGAAACAAAAACTAAGGGAATACTGGAAATGTAAAATCTGGGTAAACAAACAGGAGCTACAGATGCAAGCATAACCAACAGATTACAAGAGATGGAAGTGAGAATCTCAGGAACTGAAGATATAATAGAGAAAGCTTGACGTGCCCAACTATCTCCCAGTCTCAGTCATGGGAGAAGCAGAATTCCACTGTAGATGTTGTAACCTGCAGGGCTTTGGTCTCTCTGACACCCTTGTGACTTCTCTGAGATCACGTCCCACAGTTCTCTACCTCCCTCCATCATCCCCCACCATCTTCCATCCCAGCTGCTCCTCCTCACCTGTGCCAGGTCTTCTCTGAGCTCCAGCAACTGTCATCACTCTACCTGGAACGCTCTTTCTCCTTTACTGCTGCCAAGGGGCCACACTCTCGCTGCCTTTATGTTTTCATTCCAAACCTAGAGGATCCAAGAAACCTTTTCTGGCCACTCTGTTTCTCTGTAAAGAGCGTTATCTTTGAACTTCATTTTCCCAAAACTGGTCTACGTGTGTCCTTTCTTATCACTTATCAATATGAAAATATTTCTTATAGATTTATGAACTACATGGCTAACTACACATCTGACACACTACAGAGGAATATCCATGAGGATAAAATCCATTCATCTGCTATATCTACTGACCTCACCTCTGTGTCCCAAGCAGTGCCTGGTACAGCCCACCCAAATTGTTTATGGGATGAAGATAACAATGAATGGAGAATCCATGCTATTGATCATATGAAATCAGACAAGTATCCATGCTTCTAGCCATAAAACTGCAATTGAACCTCCTTCCAGGGCATGGACTCGTATTTTACTGAGGCACGGCCAACTAAAACCTTTCCAAGGTGAAAATGAGGTCAACCCTTCCTTCCTTGTATCCCTGTTGGGAGATGGGTCCTATCCCAGAGTGTTTATGTAATATGAACTTACCATAAGTCTAACTGGACGCAGAACACAGCAGAAACATAACCAACCAACAAAACATGGAAGCTAGCAGAAGTGCTCCCCAGAGGACCTGCTGATGTTGTCTGAACAAAACCACGTGATGTAGGAAAGAAAAGTAAGGCTACCGTTTTTAGGTGTGCTTTTTGTGTGTCATTCTTGAAGCAAACAGCCTATGGAATGAATGCTTGCTCGGTGGTGAGCATCGATGAGGTTTAGCACTTTCTTTCAGTGTTTGTCAGACCCTTGCTTGCTCCAAATGTGTCTTTAGGAAGACCCACACAGCAAGAAGCAGAAACACAGGCAACGGGTGAAGGAGGAGGCAGAGCACATTCAGTGTTCTCCAAGGGACTTTGGAAGGTTGGGGAGTGACAACAGAGATCTGAAAAAGACAGGGATCCATGTCCTGAACTCCACAGTTGGGAGACACTTTCCTGCATTCCCAATTCCTCTTCCCACAGAGCCCAGTCCTTTCAAAGGGCAGTTTCGTGCAAAAGGAATTACTTACTCAAATCCACAATTTCTAGCCCTACCCCATCCTCAGGTTATACCACTCACTTGCAAAAGAGAGGTGCACACATCATCATCAGGGGTAGCTGTGAGTTTAAAAAGGAAGCAGGAACTAATTTGGGTAGGAGGTACCTAGAAGGTGTCAGTTACTACAGGCTTTTCAGGGAGTCGAACCAGAATGTAATGCCTAAGAAGGTAAGTTTCCCTTTCTCTGGGCACTGATTGGAACCACCTGTGGCTCCAGGCAGCTGTGACAGAGCATGGACAGCCAAGTTCTCTCTATACCATGGAGACATGAGGCACAACCATCAGTTGTCCCATCTCTCCAGGAAGGCAAGGATTACTCCAGCAAGCAGAAGGACAGTGTCAGGACTGCTATTCCTGGATTCACCAAGGATCCATTTTCCCAAAGAAGTACTTGCCCTTTGCCCAGAGCTAGCCATGAACTCATATTAGTTCCTTAGGCTTCAGGCTGTGTCAGACTCTCTGAAAACGGACAGGCCTGATAGGTAGATACAAACTTGACATTGGCTTCCATTCTCCCAGTAGGCCCTTAGAAAATCAATTCAGTGACCCTCTAACATGGGTGCTTTGCTTGACAGCTGACCATAGCTACTATGAACAGTCAGAAAGAAGAAGATGGATGCATCAGGCCATTCTTCTTGGAATGCTCCTCCTAGTTAAGCTTAGAGTGTACTGTGTCCTATGTGTGAGTCCTCCTGACCTCTGAAGTCCCAGAGGCTCTCCTCAGGGACCTCCCTACCCAGAAGACCTTTCCTGCCCTTCCTGTGTCCCTCTTCACATTGTTGTGTGTATTCTCTTATAGGAGTTCCTTTGGTGTTCTGAAAGCCAGAAGATGCCAGAAAGCTTCACTCTGTTACCCCTCCTGACCTTACCAATCCATGTTTCTTGCTTCACTCTGCCCCCCGCAGGGAGCCTCTCTCTCACTCTGGCTCCCCTCCACTTCTCCCTAGGCAGTCCCCTCTTCCACAGCCCAACTCCAGTTCCTTCTCCTCCTCCCCCCAGTACCAGACCAGCTAAGTCCCATTCCATTAGATGATACTAGCTCCCTTCTCTCACAGGCTGAATTGACAGCTGTTCCCTCCTTTGCTGCTCCACCCACCAAACACACCCAGTGTTTTCCACAAGGCAAAGTGCTTACAGACAGTGTGCTATACCCACAGAAATGTGTATTCGACAGGACAAACTTATACCCATGGTGAGCTCCCAACACACTTAAAAGCAGCAGCCTCTAAACGTCTAGAAATGACAACTTTATTTCAACAGTTGTGGTGGCATAACTTTGCCAATTAGAAATTTTCCGCAAAATCATAGACATTAATATGACAATCATCATCAAATTTGATAAAATACACCGATGGTCGGGCTTGTACTTTGCCAATCATTTTGCCCTCTCTTTTTGTTCCATCATCATTGGTATATTCAATATGTTTTCCTATCAGACCATCCACAAATTTCTGGTCTACATCTTGTGGAGGAATCTCATTGTAATCTGGCAGGATACGAAGGTTGCCCTCTTTATAATCATCCAGAAGCTCATACATGTATAAGATGGGATCATTCGTATAGGTAATGTAAAAGAAGCTATTAAGAATAGGCGCTTGTGCCAGAACCATCCCTCTCCATTGATCTTTTGAGCCCTGCTCACCCTCAAATATGTGCTCCACCACTTTGCCAATTATGGCATTAGCAAGGTTGGGATCAGGAACTGGGGATGGTTTTACTGTTTCAGAGAGGACTTTAAGGGCCAGCACTCTTTCATCTTGGTGAAGTTCCAATGCATAGACAGCATCTATACCGTCATATTTCAACAAATAGAGAGAGGGATTTAAGGCGACACGATCCAGAACCGTTCCTCTCCAATGGGTGATGAGCCCATTTTCTTCCTTCCACTTATGCGAGATTCTGCAGCCCACAATATTCCTTTCGGCCAGCGACGAAGATCTGCTCCTCTGCCTCTTCTGCTTATGTTTTTTCTTGGTCAAATTTGCAGTTTCGTTGGTGGTGTTGTCACAGAATGCATGCCCAGCAGCTGCTTCTGCGGGGTCCCCTTGGCCTTCAGTGTTCCAGAAAGACCCGGTGCTGGTGCCTGGGTTCATGGCTGCATTGGAGAAAAGGGAAGAGACAGTTAGCTGAGGGGATAAAGGATAAAGGGTCAACTTACTCAACCTCCCCCGCCCCCCCCCCCGTTAGATGCCTCCATTCCAGATATCTGGTCCCTAACCGGCCCCCACCCCACCCCCAGAAGCATGAGGGCAATGCTGGACACCTCTCTGGGTGCCTGCTGCTGTGCTGTGCTCTCCTGGGTTCCCCGGTGTTGTTGGGAAGGGCTGGAGAGCTGCAGTGGGGCAGAGGATGTGGACCCGGATTTGGACCTCCGAAGTGCTGGAACCAGTGACTCTTAAGATCAACTGTCTCTGCCCTGTGCTTCGCTCCCCACAAGGCCTGAGCAAACCTGTTTGGAAACAGAGAGGAGAAGCATGACAAAGCTTACCCTTCACCTTACCCTTCACCTCGGTGTCCTGAGCATTCCTCCAAGAATTTGCTTTTTCTCCCCACTAATGCCCTCATGAAATTATTAGTGAACATGAATATCCCTTCGCTTTCATTGAAAAACTTTGAAGGGGGATGTGTGCTAGCACATTACACTGCAGTTTTGACCTAGTCTCTCCCTAATTTTTACTGACTTTCACTATCTTTCATTTGGGTGGGTTTTTCTCTTGTGGTTCCCCCCTCTTTTCTGCTTCATTCTATGAAAAAGTAATCATTTTTATACCTTTAAGTGCTATGTAAATTTCTTGAAACTGACATGAAGTTCATGATTTCAATTCTATCTTTCATTTAAAGGTCTCACAGCAAAATATTATTTCCTTTTCCTATTAGTGCTTTCTAAGGATATTACATTTTTTAAAATTAGTCTTTCTTTTTATTTAATATACAATTATTTCTTCGTCCATGTGTAAAATTTGATTTTGCAATCATCTGTAGCTTTCTCGTAATCTCTGAGTTTTGGAAGAATAGTGCCACGATAATTGGTAATGAAATTTATTCATCAGAATGTATATCTTTGTTGAATATCTTAAGTTCTCAGGAGAAAAATAACCAATTTCTAATCTGTGAATTAAGACTTGGTCTCTTTATCAAATACGGGAGTAATAATTTAATTTTTTTTTTCTTCTTCGTTTTTTGAGATAAGGAATCTTTGTTTAACACTCCTGTTTGTCTTAGAACTCTCTCTGTAGATCAGGCTGGCCTTGAACTCACTGAAATCCAGCTACCTCTGCCTCCCAAGTACTGGGATAAAGGGTGTGAACCACCACCATCTGGCCTAATATTTTTTGTTTTGTTTTTTCTCTGTTTTTGTTTTGTTTACGAGGCAGGGTTTCTCTGTAGCTTTGGAGCCTGTTTTGAAACTAACTCTTGTAGATCAAACTTGTCTCGAACTCACAGGGGTTCACCTACCTCTACTTCCAGAATACTGGGAATAAAGGTGTGTGCCAGCACTGCCCAGCTCCAGAATAATGTATTTATAAATTTGTGTATCATCAGATCCATTCTTGAGTTTCTATTTGATTCATTAAAACTATAAAGCATAGCAAAATCAAACACAGTAAAAAAAGGAAATAAACACATTCAACCCCATAAATAATAAATTATGAATCTGAAACACAATATTTACGCTAACAGCACAGCTGCTATTAAAAAAATGGCTAAATGGTAAAAGAACAATAATTTTGATTCAATATTTAAAGTATAAGAGGCCATTAAGCTATTATTAATTTTTTAAATGGCAATGGCAATGCAAAAGAATGTTCATTCTGTCTTTCTGTCTTTACAAACAGCAATCAACAGATAGGCCATAGTTTCTCTAAGGTCACAGCTAAAACTCAGACCTGAGATTGGAATCCTAACTGTGGTGGTTTGAAAACAAAATGATCCCCATACGCCCTTAGGAAGCGGCACTATTAGGAGGTGTGGCATTGTTGGAGCAGGTGTGTATTTGTTGGAAGAAGTGGGTCACTGGGGACAGGCTTCGAGGTTTCAGTTGCCCAAGCTAGGCCTAGTGTTTCTGTCTCTTTCTGTTGCCTTTGGATCCAGATGTAGAACTCTCAGCTAGTTCTTCAGGTTCATGTGTGCCTGCATGCCTCCATGCTTCCAGTCATGATGACAGGACAGACCATATTTTTGTTTGGAGGAATGTGAGTTAGAAAAACAATTGAATGCTTTAAGATGGTGAAGATGTAATTGAATATGTGGGCCATGTTCCAGCCCCTGCAAGCAGAAGAACTTGGCAGCTTCGGCCATGTGGCACTCACTGGCCTTAAAATAAAGGATAGAAGAAAGGCATTATGGAATTTCCCTTCATGACTAAGGAAGGCTGCTGAGACAAGGCATGTGTCAGGGGTGTCTGTGCATGGAGATCTAGAGAGAACACTGCGTGAAGTTGTAAAGTTGAAGCCTGGATTACCTTGGAGACCCCAAGGTGCTGGAGATGCCCAAGTCATGGGATACCTGATAAAGGAAGCTACTAATGGGGAGGGGGACCAGCCCAAGAGAAAGAAGTGTGTTGCAGTCAACAAAGCTGAATGAATTGAAGATATGAAGGCTTTTTTGACATCAGATATGGAGATGCAGAATTTGGAGTTTGCTCGACTGTTTTTTAGTTTTGCTTTGGTACGGTATTTTCTCACTATATCCCCTTTTTATGTGTTCTGTTTTATTACTTTGATTTTACAGGGGATTACAGTTAAGAGACTGCATGAATCTCAGAAGAGACATCGATCTTACTGACTTTTAAACAAATTTGAGACTGTCATACACTATGGGAACTTTTATAATTAGACTTAATGCTATTAGCCTGTGGGGGCCAGGGCAGGGAATTTGGTGGTTTGAAAGAAAATGGATCCCATAGGCTCATTTGTAGTGTTGTTATTAGGAAATATTGCCTTGTGAAAGTAAGTGTGACATTGTTAGAGGAAGTATGTCACTGGGGCCAGGCTTTGAGGTCTCAGATGCTAAAGCTAGGCCCAGTGTGGCATTCTTCTTCTGCTGCCTGCTCAATATGTTGAACTCTTAATTCCATCCCTAGCACCATGTCTGTCTGAATGTTACCATGTTTCATTCCATTATGATGATGGACTAAACCTCTGAACTGTAAGCTGCCACCTCAAATATTTTCTTTATAAGAATTGCTGTGGTCATGGTGTCTCTTAACAGCAATAAAAATCGTAAGTAATATAGAAGTTGGTACCAGGGACTCAGTTATTTCTGTGATAGGACAGACCATGGTCATGGTATCTCCTCAAAGCAGTAGAAATCTTAAGACAAGGATTCTTAGCCAGTTTCCTTCTCAGCAGTTGGACCCTACCTTTTGGTCCATTGGGTCTTTTTGTGTCTGGTTTATGTTCCCTAGCATAAAATTTGATAATCCATTAATCTCAAAACTATCCTTAAGAGGTGAAACCAAGAAAGAGCTTATGTCATTGAGTATATGCACTCAGAAGAGATAGTATGACTCTAGTACCTGTCTTTTCTTCATTTCATGTCTATCTATGGGAGAAATTGTCTTCACCAAGATGAACACACACAGTGATGCATTGGGCCATCATTGGTACAAAGCAGTGGATCCAATTATCACATGTTGAAACCTCCAAAACTATCTATTCTTTTTAAGTTGACTTGTGTTATAATATTTTCACTATATGTGACTAAGGCAGTGGACAAACCATATTTTTATTTATTTACCTTTTTATGGATAGATGTGCTGTTCTGTATTGATTTAATATGAATAACAGTGCTGTATATTTATGTACATTTTGTACATGTTTTATTTGGATTTCTTTTTATTTCTGTTATATTTATATTAAGGGAAGAACTGTTTGGCCATATAGTAGTTCTAGAGTTAATTGTTTGAGGAACCACTAGTGGTTTCCAAAATGATTGTGAGAGTTTATAGTCACACATAGATAAGAATTCCATTTTCTCAAAAGCCCTCAACAAGTATACCGTGAATTTTCATCATTGCCATTCTATTACGTGTGATGTATTATCTCACTGTGAAATGATTTGAATTTCCTTGTGATGTCAAGCACTTTATTACTATTTTTAGAGAAATATATATTCAGATAATTTCTATTTATATTGGGTTGTCTCTTATTGTTGAGTTGTAAAATATCTAATTATAAATCTCTCATAACATACATGACAAAGAAATATTATATCATATTGTGTGATTTGTCCTTTCAGTTTCTTGTTAGGGTGCTTTGAAACTTAAAACCTTCATATTAGAGTGTGTAAGGGGAGAAGGGGGAAGACCAGAGGAAAACAGGGAGACAGAGAGGGAGGAAGAGAGAGAGAGAGGGGGGAATGGAAGAATGGACAAAAGCAGAAGCTGGCTCTTAGGGGAAGAAACTGAAAAGAGGAGAGGCACAGGCTGCAAGCAGGAAGAAAGATCTACCTGCCTCAGTGGATGGTAGAGACAGTGGGTAGGGCTTGTCTCTTAAAGGGACAGGACAGATCATGACAGCCTTCCCGATATTAAAGTCTACTTTTTTGGAATTACTATCTACAGAGCATTCATAAATCCTTTAAGTCATCAATTCTACTCTTCTACATCACAGGTAAATGTGGAGTGCTAACCAACATATGAGATGTCTTTTAAAACCAGCACAAAATTACCCATAAATGGACACAACAGGTAACGGTTATATGCAAATTTTTGAATGTGTAGAAGATACTCAAGAAACTAGGCCTCTCTGAGTTAGGCAAACTGCTTTCCACGGCTGCACCAAAAGAGAACATTGTTCTTAATTACCAATAAACTTTCACACACAGCTCTCTGCTCCCAACACTCTGCACCGGTGCACCCCACAGAGCAAAGTTATCCAGAGGACTGTGCCTAGGTTCAGGGAGTAGCAGGGACCACATGGGAGCTCACAGAACAAGGAATATGGCTGCAGATTCCCACCTGGCCCTGGAGAGGACCCACCACACTTGCTCCTGCGCTTCCCAGTCTGATCTTGTTTTATCTGTCTATGGTGATTGAAAGTTTACCTGGGTATAGTAGTCTGGGCTTGGAACCTTGGTCTCTTAATGTCTCCATAAGGCTTGACCAGGTCGTACTGGCATTCATTGTATCCAATGAAAAGTCAGCTGTAATTCTGATACATCTGCCTTTGTATGTTACTTGGCATTTTTCCTTTGAAGCTCTTAATATTCTTTCTTTACTCTTCATGTTTTGTGTTTTGATCATTATGTGGTGAGTGGACTATTTTTTTGATCCAGTCTATTTGGTGTTCTGTAAGCTTCTTGAATCTTCATAGGCATATCTTTCTTTAGGTTGAGAAAGTTTCTTCTATGATTATGGTAAATATATTTTCTGTGCTTTTGAGTTGAACTTCTGTTTCTTATATATCTATTATTCTTAGGTTTGGCCTTTTCATGGTGTCCCATGTATCATGGATACTTTGGGTTAAGCGTTAGTTACATTTAATGTTTTCTTTGACTGATGAGTCTATTTTCTCTGTTGTGTCTTCAGCACCTGAGATTCTCTCTTTCATCTCTTGTATTCTGCTGTTTATGTTCGCATTGGTGGTTCCTGATCTTTTTATCAGGATTCCTGTTTCAATAATTCCCTCAGCTTGTGTTTACTTTATTGTCTCTATTTCAGTTTTTAAGTCTTGAATACTTGCTTTCATATGTTAGATTGCTTTTTCTTGATTTTCTTTAAGGGATTTGCTGATGTCTTCCAATTTTCTGTTTGTCGTTTTCTCCATTTCTTTGAGGGAATTTCTCATTTCCTCTTTAAGAGTCTCAAATATTTTCCTGAAGTTATTTTTAGGACATTTTCTTCTGCTTCATCTGTATTTGTTTGTTCAAGTATGGCTGTCGTAGTGTCTCTAGATATTACTGGTGTTGTGCTGCTCTTTGTGTTGTTGAATCTGTTCTGACCTTGTCTACTCATCTTTTCCTCTAATTGATGTGGTTGGGACTCTCTGTAACTCTAGTGATTAATCTTCTAGGTGCCAGTGGATCCAAGGCTCAGATAGTTGTTGCTCATGGTACAGTCAGTGCCACTGTTTTAGTTACCCCGATGATTGCTTCATGTTCCTGGAGGTCGCTTAGAGCTCCCAGGGTTTGCTCTGCTTATGGGGAGTTTGCTGTCTCAGGCCTACTGTTGTAGGCCTGTTTTCAGCTCAGACCTGTTTCTGTAAATATCCCTGGTCCGGATCTTCTCCTGAGGAGGTCCTTGGCTTGGGGCTGGTCCTGCAAGCTCTCTGGCTCTGATCTTCTCCCTCGGAGATCTCAGACTTGGATGAGGACCTGTCTCAGGACTACTCCCTCAGTGGTACCAGACTCATTCCCAGACCCACAGAGGTTTCTGGTTCCTGCCTACTCCTTCGGAGGTCCCCAACCAATGCCTGGACCCACAAAGGTCCTAGCTCAGTCCTACTCCCTCAGAGGTCCCAGACTCACACCCAGACTCACAGAGGTCCTGGCACAGGCCTAGTTTCTTCGAGTTCCCAGACTTTTCCCAGACCCAGAGGGGTCCTGTCTCAGGTCTACTCAATCGAAGGTCCCAGATTCATGCCCAGACCCACAGTAGTCTCTGGCTCTGACCCACTCCCTGAGCAGTTCCTCCCCTGTACCTGTTCCTGTAGATTCTTTTTTTTTGATCTCAGGTCTTCTCTGGCCCAGGTGGCTGGCACAGTCGCGATCTTCCTGAATTTACTGCTTCAGTTAGGGTTACCTATTATGAGTAGAGGAGGTGAATAAACTAAGTGATAGAAGCTAGGCAGGCAGTTTGGGGAAACTCACACATGCTTGGAATATGTTCTACCTGTTGAGTTATACACTTAGCCCATATTCCTGTGAAATTAAACCATAATGTATGGGATCTATTTTATATTGACCTTGAGAGTTTTATGCATATTATTCACTATCTTTGATAATGAAATCGAAACTTATAAAAGAAGTTATTAATTTTTCAACTGCAACATTTATTGCCAAGGTGTGGGGTCAGTATAAAATACATATATTATCAGTTTAAATGAGAAGTAACCTAACTAAAAGCATCCCTAACCATCTACTACATTTGAATTCATGAAGTTGGAGGCAGGTTGAAGGAGAAAGACTTGGAGAAGACACATATTGATCTGAAGAGTGTTTGAGTTTTACCCAAGTTTTAGTTAAACATTACACAAATTTAAAGTTGGAGCAGTGTAACTCCTGATCAGATGATCAAAAGCACAGGCATGTGAAAAAGCTTTGGTTGATTGCCACCCAGCACCCACCATTAAGGAGTCCTCCAAGTGGAAGGTGGAGATTCATTAAGTGTATGTCCCACATAAGAGGCCTCTGAGTCTTTCACTGCAACTTGTACAGAAACTGTAATGTACTGACTATCATGACATCTTTACTAATGCCCCTTCCAAACAAAGAATTTACAATTGTCTATGAAAGATCTTGAAAATTGGCACAATTTTGGCTTAAAACTGAACTCTTCAACTTCACTCTTTGATTTCTCAAGGCCTGAATAAAATAGTAAGCTCCCCTCATTGTAGACTCTAAAGAACCAGATTTCTGAAACACTGCCTGAAGATGCAAAATATAATTCTAGGCCATAGAAGGATCAGCCTTCCCTGGCAGACTAAATCTGGACATGAACACAAACTAGTCAGGTTCATACCAAGGAAAACAGGTTCTAGAGCTCGTCTACATTTATGGTAGTAAACTAAGAGGACTGTATGGATCTAAGAACTCCATAATGTGTCAGTTTTGTTGACACAATACCTGACAAGAAGTTAGAAAATATATTATATAGACTACTCTTTAGTAGGCCAATGGTATTCAAAGGCTATTGAATTATTCAACTATACATAGGCCAAGGTCTTGTTAGGGGAACTCTTGTTTTGACCAAAGACTATGAACAAAAGTAGCTTGGGAAAGAAATGACTTATTTCATCTCACATTCCTCATGTCACAGTCCATAAGTGAGAAAATCAGGGTAGGAACCTAGCGGCAAGAGCTGATGCAGAAGCCATGGATGGGTGATCTTTACTGACTTCTTCTTGGGGATTGCTGTGGTGGTTTGAAGGAAAATGGCCCCCAAAGGGAATGCACTATTAGGAGGTGTGGTCTTATTGGAGGAAGTGTGTCACTGTGGGGTCTGGTTTTGAGATCTCTTTTTCTCAAGCTTCCCTCAGTGTGACTGTCAGTGTATCTCTGTTGCCTCTGAGTCAAGATATAGAACTCTCAAATCCAGTACCACATCTGTCTGCATGCTCCCCTTCATAATGGACTGAACCTCTGAACTGTAAGCAAATGACCACAATTAATTCTTTTTATTAATAAAAGTTGTCATGGTCATGTTATTTCTTCAGAGCAATAGTGAACCCTAACTAAGACAATTGCTCTGCCAACCTTATTATACAACTCAAGACCAACTGCCCAGGGATGACACCACCTGCAGTGGGTTGGGCTCTTCCACATCAATCCCCCACAGGCTTGCCTATATGTCAATCTTATGGAGGCAATTTCTTAGGTGAGCTTCCCTCTTCTCAGATAACCCTAACCTGTGTTAAGTTGACATAAAAACTAGAGAGCATAGTATGCAAAGTAATGAGAATCTGCCTTGTTTTATATTCCCCATTTTCAGTAGTGCATCATGCATGCTCTACAACAGGGGGTGATTAGAATATTTACAGGTATCTTATATTGTTCCATATGTGTATGCTACACTCGAAGAAGGCAAGTAAAGACATTCTGTAAAAGAAATAGCACATCAAATGTGTCTACACAGTAGTAAGAGTTTTGGAGAAAATGTCTAAAATTGATACTGACCAACTAGAAACCCTTTCTAAGGGCAGAGACCCTGAGTAAAATAAAGACTCTGATTAGAGCAGGAGCAAGTACAAGGTAGAGGATTCTTCAATTATCCCAAAGTCAGGTCCCATGCCACGTTTCTTAAATGTTTCAGTCACTCTTTGCCATGGTTAATTTTGATCAGTTCTGGGATCAACTGAGAGACACACTTTGTCATGGACCAGCCTTGACAAAAATACCTCTTGCCAGGGTAGAGGTGTGGGGATTTAGAAATATAATAAAGAATATGAAGATGTGAATGAAAGTAATAAAATGGAGAAACATAGAATAGTATCAGGATGGAATTCTAGTGAGTACTGAAATTCGCCCATGTTTAATTTCCAACTGCTTAAAACACCCCTGGCCCCAAGGGGTAAGAGAAAGGCAAAAGACTGCATTAACACGGTACCAAGAATTGAACATACCAATTGAAGTTGGCAGGCTGTGTCCACAGTATATCGTCTTGCTGTTGGGACAAGTCTACTTTCACTCATACCCTGGACCCAAACATTCTATAGGCACTCTCTGTGTGGAATCCCAAGGTAACTCCATAAAGGGAACTGTTACTTAGTTGGATTCTTAGAATTTTGTTTGAGGTAGGAACAGATCTGCTTCCCTCTTCCTGGATTACATGTTCTGGCCATTAGGCACACCTGTTGACAATAGCCTTGAGAAAGCATAACTCTCTGATGTAACTCTTGGTGGGACCTTGTAGAAACACAATAACCTTGAAGGAATCGAGTTAAGTTCACTTTCTGATCTTTGTTCCAGTTGGAAATAGGCTTACATTTTTTGGCCCCCACAACACTTCATAATATTTTGGGGAAAAATCAACTGAGCAGGGGATATTCTCCCAGGAAGTGGGTAATACCTTTTGGCTATGCAGTGCATGTGTAAAAAGGCCTGAGACAAAATTGCTCCCTTTGTCTGCCTCCCTTCACTTCCTGCTAATAAGTATAACTATTCTCAGGCTCCCAGTGTCTCTGTTGCTACCATTCTTTGTTGCCATTAGAACACAGTTTCTTCAGACTTTTGTCGTGTATTGTGGACCAGAAGCATTTCAGAAATCCTCTAGGTTTCCAGCATTAGAATGGGAATGTTGTGGTATCTAGCTCCATGGATCAAAGAGCTACCAGGCTCTTAGCCTCTCTGGTATGGAGACAGCCACTGTTGAACTAACCAGACTATATTGTGTAAACCAATCTAATACAACCCCTTTATGATATTTATATTATCAGTTCAGTTCCTCTAGAGCAATGGTTCTCAACATGTATGACTTGGATCCCTTTGCAAACCTCTAGTTCCAAAAATACATTATGATTCATAACAGAAGCAGTTACAGTTATGAAATAGCAAGGAAAATAAATTTATTTTTTGGTGTAGCACAAATAATAAAGTCCCAGAGATAGATATTGGTTTTCAACCTATAGGTCAGAAAAGTAAAGCAACCAAGCCTCTAGAGAGCTCTTACTTCTATAAAATCTCCAGACTGAAATGCTGAAACAGCTCCTCATATTATGGTGACTGTAATGGTCTGTCCTGTTCCTTTAAGAAACAAGCCCTGCCCGCTCTCTTCCCCATCTACTGAGGCAAACAGATCTTTCCTCAGCTTAAAGCCTGAGTTCCTAACTTCCATTTCTCTCTTAAAGTGGCAGCTTCTGCCTCTCTTCCTTCTCCCCATTGTTCCCCTTTCCCTTTTCTCTCTCCCTCCCTCTCTCTCTGTCTCTGTCTCTCTCTCTATGTCTCTGTCTCTCTGCTTTTCTCTCTCTATCAGCTTTTCTCCTTTTCTTTCTGTTTTTCTCTCTCTGCCTCTCTCTCTTTCTTCTCCCTTCTTTCCTTACCCACTTTCCCCTCCCCCTCCATAACCCACCAAATAAATACTCACTTTTTTTCTGCATGGCATGTGTAATAGATCTCTGTCTCTCATCTGCTACGTGACTCCCTGACTGGGACTGACTACTTTCATGCCCTTCTTGGTCTCAATCCTGCTGCCTACTGCCAAAACTCGGGGACCTGTGGTGTTTTACTTTTATCATAAAAGAAAGAGAGTGAGTTCCTGCCTCATGCCACTTTATATTCATCTCTAGTGCTGAGATTAAAGGTGTGTATCACCACCAAAGGACTGCTATGGCTACTAGTGTGGCAGTTGGAAATAAAGGTGTGTGCCATCACTACCTGACTTGTAAGACTGATTAGTTTGGCTGCTTTGCATTCTGATCTTCAGGAAAGTTTTATTAAAATACCATTGAAATATCATTACAGTTGTGGGGCACTGTAATGGCAAAAATAGGATGGCACCATTCCCCAAGGGCCTGCTGTCCATGATGGGTATTGAGTCCTAGGTGGAATGAGAGATAGTAATGCATAGGCACATGCCATGCAGAGTGAGGTTGGAATTTTAGTGGGTTATGGAATGGAAGGGGAAAGGGAAGATGTGAAAAAGATCACAGAGAAAGAGAGAGAGAGAGAACCAGAGAGAAAAAGAGACGATGAGGGTGAAGGGGAGAAAGTGGATGAAGTGGGGAAACAGGCAGAAACTGTCTCTATGCTGAGAGATGGAAAGAAGACTTTCAAGCTTTCAGCTGAAGAAAGATTCACTTGCCTCAGCAGACAGGAGAGGGAGTAGGTGGGGATTGTCTCTTAAAGGGACAGGACAGACCACTACATTCACCACAGCATGAGGAACTAATTGTTCCAGCATTAGTAAGGTTGAGAACCACTACCCTAGAGAATTCTGATACACCAGTTTTATTTGGTAGTGGTGAGTTCACAATCACATAGACATTTTTCACCTTTTACATTACAATTCAGTTGTAAAAATGCATAGGATTTAGATTTCTAAATATTTATTTATTGTGTATTGGAATATTTTATTTGCATGTATATTTGTTTGCCACATGTATGACTGGTTCTTGTAGAGGTCAGAAGAGGGCATCAGATGCCCTGGAACTGGAGTTAGAGGTGGTTGTGAGCCACCATGTGGGTGTTGGGAATTGAACCTTGGTCCTCTGCAAGACCAGCCAGTGCTCTTAGTCACTGGACAATCTATCTGACCCAGAATTAAATTTTTTGAAGTCAGTGCAACTGAATTACCATAAAAGTCTATGCTCAGAGAAATTGTCACTTATGTATTTATTGGCTACGTAATTATATGTTTATATGTGGTGTCAGGTGATGTATGACATATCTACCAGTTTATCAAATTTAGGGCAGGGAGAACTACCTGAGAATGTAAATAAATGAATTAGACAATATGAAAGTTGTTCAGGTGGAAGCGCCAAACAGATGCACTTGTCCCGTTCTAGACCCAGTCCCAGAGAATGCTGGCTATGGCTCATCTCCTCAATCTGAGATGCTCAAGACCATGCCTATAGGCTATTTAAGCCAAAGTCCCCTGACCTGCCATGTGGTTTTCCCCTTGTTTCTTCTCTTCCCCTGGAATCACCTGGGAATGCTTAGCTTAGATTAATCCTGGACTTTCATTCAACTTGATTAGTTCATTATATTTGCATAGTTACCCACTACCAGGCTCCTGGGAAATATTTTTACTAATCAGAAGTTAAATATATTACTCAGTGGAAACCGAGAAAAGGTTGATCTTTTTTTTTTCCATTTCACATGACTGAGGATGCTCATATCTTGACATTTGAAGTACTCCCCTTTATCAGCTATGGTGTGGATAATATGCTGTTAGTCTAAATTGCAGTGAAGTAAAATATGATTTATATCTTCTTGTGAGTCAATAAAAATTCTCCTACAGACACATACCCAATGTCAGATTCCCATATGTATGCTGTGAATATGATTGGTTAATTAACATGGAAAAGTGGCTTTGCCTGAAAGGGTAGAGTAGAGCTAGGCAATGAAACTAAACTGAATACTGGGAGAAAGGAAGCAGAGTCAGAGAGAAGCCATGTGGCCCTGCTACAGACAGCAGAACTTTACCCAGTAAGTCATGGCCTTGTGGCAATACACAGATAAATGGAGATGGGTTAAATCAATATGTAACAGATAGCAAATAAGAAATGAGAGCTAATGGGATAAGAAGTGATTTAATTAATGCAGTTTCTGTGTGGTTATTTTGGGTCTGAGCTGCCGGGCAGCCAGAAAACAAGTGAAATCTTAGTATAAATTGGCACCCAACATGGCCAACCAAAATTCACAGAAAACCTGTTTTAAGTTTAAAACCTGTTTTAAGAGTTTGGGAAGGATTGTAGGGATAAAAAAAAGGCTTAAGCACAACTTAATGCCATGGCTCCTTTAAGAGAGGATTTCTGGATTCAACAATGGCCGAAAAAAGTTGAATGGTGACTTCCTGGTCTGTACTGCCAGCACAAACCCTGGCTCTTTCAGGAGAACGAGCATTTAAATGGGGTTTGTGAGCAGATTTTTACCAACTGCTTAATGGCTCCACATAGACCTGCTGCATATTTGGAACTAGGGTGGAATGTGCAGTTTGCAGAGACATTGAACATGTCTCCATCATATTTGACTGGGCAGAACCAACTACAAAGCAGCATTAGCACTTATCATGCCACCACTTAGCTTTTTTAAAAAAAGCAGTCCTGGTCAGAAAATAATTACAGATACACAATAAAGACAGATTCAGATTGTAAAAGATCTCTAAATGAATCACAGTGTGTTTAAAAAAATGTATGTCGGGTTGGAAGACAGAAAAAAAGAGTAAAGAGAGCTATAAAAGGAAGTAATGGTTTTTAAAAAATAGTTGATCAAGATACAGTATAGACAGTAATAGATTAAAAAATTAAGCCACATAAAGATAAAGTATATACAGAGTCTGGATTATGTATATTATTATGTTTGCTTGGAATTTTTAGACTGTGAAAAAACTAAGTAATAAATGTACTTTAACAGTATCTTGTCTTCAAAATTTGTGTTTGTGGATTTGTTGCTTTGGAAAAGAGGTTCTGTTTTTTTCCACAGAAGATGAGAACCTATGGATTAATTCCAGACTAATGTAGTTTGATGGACAAAGGACCCCTGAAAGGTTTCCATCAACACCCCCAAAAATTACATCGCTCAACAAAAAGCAAGAAGCAGTTCGGAGAAAACTGTGCCGAAATTCCCAAATATTGTTTATGAATGTTTCTTTATATTTTAAGGGGATGTGCTATAGAGATTTGCTTTGGTATAGATCTTGGTTTATTGATACAAATTTAAGGTCAATTTTGTTATACTGTGTATATGTGGTTTTTTTTAAAGTTTATTAAAATATAAAAGTTTCCATTTTCGTCCCTCCTCCCAACACCCTCCCACTCCACCCACTCCCTCTCCTCTTCCCTCTCCATCCCTAAGAGCAGTCTGGGCTTCCTGCCTTGTGGGTAGTTCAAGTTCCTCCCCGCTCCCTCCAGGTTCAGGAAGGTGAGTATCCAAACAGACTGGATCCCCAAAAATCAAGAATATGCAGAGGAAACAAGTCCCAGAGTCATTGTCAATGGCTTTTTAGAAAGACTTCGGGTCAGCCACATTCAGGGAATCCAGCCTCCTC